TGTGTGTGTGTCTAGGGGCGGGGCGGCCAGATAAAGACCAGTGGACACGGGGCAGAGGAAGGGGTGGATCTGAGACCCCCGTGGAGGAAGAATGGGCAGGATGTGGTGAATAATGGGAGAGGGAGTCATCTATTCTCTTGGGCAATGCTCTGGGGATAAGAGGCGGGAGGTCGGGGTGGGGGGGGCCCTTGAGAATGGCCAGATTTTGGGGATCTCTGGAGGTAACTGGGCCTTTTCGATGCTAGTCAGCTGTAGACAGGTGGCAGCCCAGTCTGCACCTGGAGAAAGGCGCAGGGCCAGAGAGGACATGCAAGCAGAACTCTGGGCTTTGGCCAAGTAATTGCGGGGTGGGGGCAGGGGCAGGGGCAGGTGAAGGCCTGGGGCAGAGACGAGTTCTCACCAGTGGGGTGAGGTGTCCTGGTGTGGACCCAGCCCCCAGGAGGGTAGCACCTGGCAGGAGGGGGCTCCACCTCCTGGAGACCCCTGTCTGAGGAAGGTGGTCTACAATTGGGAAAATGCAGGTGGGCCTGAACTGAGGCCTCTGGGTCTCTGGCCCAGGATCTGCCCTAAGGTAGAGGTCACCACACCCACCGCTCGGGAAGGGGGGAGGTGTGCTTGGCGCATGGTTGCCTACTTCCGCAGTGGGATCCCTGTACCCCCATAAGTCCCTGCACCCGCAGTTCCTAGCACAGACTGAGTTGTTCTAAACTCCCACTGCTGGGAGAGGGAATCTGGAAACCACCAAAGGGGGGAATGGCCCCCTTTTTCAGCCATGTCATACATGAGCCAGGAAAGAAGAGGGGGACACAGAGGCAGGCAGGCCGGTTTCGCAGGCGCCGTGGAGGCGCAGTTCAGAATCCAACCCTTTATAGAGGAGCGGAAGCGAGCCTGGCTTGGGGCGATTCCCAGGACGGGCTCGGCCTGCGGGTCCCTTCGCCTGGACCCCCAGGGCCCCTCTTGCCGGCCAAGGCAGCTTCCTGCCGGGGGGCCTCGGCGAGGACCTGGGAGCCCCTGTTTTCAAGCCCAGGTTAAAGACTAAGGACTTTGACCTTTCTGGAGATCTGTGAACGGCCGCCCCCTCGGGGACAATGATTACTGCCTTCCCCCTGTCTCTGCAGCCCAGACCCTAGATTACCCGCGAGCGCTGTCTGGGCTCCCTGCCATCCCCAGGACTGCGGGATTGGCCGCAGGGCCCTTTTCTGAATCCCAGCGCTCCCCTATCCCGGCCGGGCGCGCGGATGGTACGTCCCGGCCCGCCCAGGTGGTAGCGCCCGCGCCAGCCTACCGTAATTCCCCTACGCCCGGCGCCCCAACCCAGCGCGGACCGACTGAGCCCGCCCCGCGGCTCCGGTCCCCCTCGCCCTGCGCGCCCCGCCGGGGCTTTGGCAGCCTTGCCCCGAGCCCCAGCCACAAAGGAGGAAACCCATGTCCCTAGGTGAGTCTCACGGGGAAGCTGGGGTCCGGACAGGGCTGGGGTCCGGACGGGGTGGGTCCGGGCACCAAGACTTCTCCCAAATTAATGGACAGAACCAGACTGGAAAGTCCCACACAATCCCAGGCCCGCGGGTGGGTATCGACGGGCGCCGCTGGCTCTACCTCCATTTACTTGAGTGTGGAATGGGCCGAAGCGCCCGCCCCCGCCCCCGCCCCAGTGACTCTAATGGGGAGTCGGCCCCCAGATATGGGTGTGAGGAGCCTATGGAACCTCAACCCTGCTGTGAGGTTTGTTGCTGGGGGCGGGGGGGTGGGTGGCTTGGCTTAGGGTGATTAGGAGGAGGCTTCGGGGACCCTGCCCCATCTGGTCGAACGAGGGTCAGTATCGGGGACAGTCCTCTGGGAGGCCGGCAGGGGGCGCGAGAGTCTGTGCGTCAGGCAGCTGTGGCGGGGACAGAGGGACCCAGGATAGGCCCTGTCTGCCTTGATTAAAGGCGAGGAAAAGGAGGCCAGGAGGCCCTGGACCCTATAGATTCCCCAATAACCTTCCCCAGCTTGGCTCTAGGTGGATTTTACTCTGCCCCTTGGCCAAGGTCCACAAATACATTAGGATCTCACAGCCATCTGTAGATAGAAAATTCTAGAGACCTGGCCAGTGTCCTCTCTGCACAGGTGGGTAAGAGCAGGGGCAGGTGGGCCCCAGAAGCAGGTCTGCTGCAGCCCAGGCACGTGTCCTCTCCCTCATTCCGTCCCAAGTAGCCTTCTATCTGGTGCTGGAGAAAGAGGTGCCAGGAGAAGGCACTGGCTGCGATGCTGTGGTCCTTAGCTCCAGGGTCAGGCGCATTTGTGCAGGGACAAGGCAGGAAGTGAAGTTCATGGACCACACACAGCCTCTCCCTGTCTCCCTAGCACTGAGTCCCAGCCAGACTGCTCCCTGAGGAGGAAGAGGCCTCTCTGGTTTCCCGGGCCTATGCAGTGGGCCTGGCCTGTGGACAGGTTCTCTATATTCTTGCCATCTGCCCAGCTCAGGGCAGGACTTTAGGGCACGCTCTGCCTCCAGGTGGGCCCCGGAACCCAAAGGACAAGGAGTTAAGCCCCGGCCTAGGGGAAGGGAGGAGCTGGTAGGCCGTTGGGAACGAGGAGGACAGCCTGGCCGACCTGCCCACGCATGCAGCCTCCACCCCTGCATCTGCAAGGTGCCAGATGGGGCCTTGGGGCCCGTAGGCTCCCAGGGGAACTTAGCCGAAGTGAGGAGCCCTTGGGCACGGGTGTCCCTTCAACTGGGGAGCCCCAACTCCTGATTCAAGGCCCATCTGCTGTGGGCAGAGCATGGAGCGGGCCCCAGACCTCGCCCCAGACCCACGGTCTCTACTGGACAGGAAGTTCCCGCGCCCACCACAGACCAGGAGGAGGCCCCAACCATTGTGGGGTGGGGATGCCCACAGGCCTCCTCTTCTGGGGCTGCGGAGGTGGTGCTGGGGGCGGGGGTGAGGGGGACTCCTGCTGTGGATTCTCCATTATTCATCAGCGCCAGCATCTGGTTTCTGAGGATCAGTTTCAACAAGCCGGTCCTGACTCATGAGCCTAGAGCTGGGGCTGGGCTGAGGAGGGGCCCCCTCCCCAGGGAGTCAGGGGCTGGACCTCTGGGGCATGCTATAGCTCAGGCACTATTTCAGCTCTGTCCTGTAAAGAGGAGGTGAGAACTAGGAACATTCGAGGGGCTCCTCCCTCTCCTGGTGCAGGGGCTGGGGCCTCCTTTCCTCGCCAGCTCCACGGGCTCCTGGGGCAGCAGGGCCCTGGCGCTCTAAGGAGCACCCCTGCCCTGGCTGGAGGAGCATGACTCAGGGATGGCCAAGGCCTGGTCACTCAGGTGACTTCCAGTGACCAGCCGTGGCTCAGCCCTGGTGGTCTCCATTTGATGCGAGCTGGTTACCCCAAACCAGCTGGATCCCCCTAAGCTGGCTTTGGAATCTGCCCTGTCCCCAAGGGACGAACCTCAAGGCTCTGCTGCCCAAACCATCACTCAGCCAGTCTTCATGCACCCCATACCACCCTGTGCCTAAGACACAGGTAGTGAGTGGCCCAAAGCACAGGCATCTGCCTCCCCACTTACCCACTGGTGACTTGAAGCAAGTCACTTAACCTTTCTAAGCCTCGGTTTCTTTGTTAAATGGGGATACTAACAGTATCTCCTCCTTAGGATCTTAGAGAAGAGTGAACAAGATTTGCTGTCCCAAACTCCTGGCACAGGCCTGGCACTTGGGAGGGCTCAGCTGTCGGTCTATGGGATAACCGCAGGGGCAGGGGGCCTGGCAAAACCACCAGGGTTTGAAGTGGAAACTGACCTGCCTGGGTCAGCAGGCCCAAGGTCATGGATGCCAAGAGGAAGAGAGAACCTGTGATCAGGCAGAGGGGAAGCCTTTCTCGACCGTTGGCCCAGAAGGGACATTTTGGCTGAGACCTTCCCTGCCCCAATGGGCTTTTCTGGCATGAAGACCCTTCATCTGCCTTCATTCATCCAGTCATCATCTAGTCTATCCCAAGCACCTACTGTGTGCCAGGACTGTTCTACGCTGAAGAGGCAGTATGGGCCAGACGGCCAAGGCCGGTGGCCTCTGGAGAGGGTATTCCAGCAGGAAAGTGATAATCCAGAAGTGAACAGACATCAAATAACTTCGGGTGGTGATATGTACTTAGGAGGAAAGAATTCAATTTAAGAGATTTGAGCGTTGGAGGTTGAGGGGCTATTTATTTTGGAAGGAGGGTGACGGCCTCCCTGTGAAGGTAGCGTTTAGGATGGGGCCCAGTGCCAGCTGTTGGAAGATCAGGGGCGTGCAGTGTTCCAGACAGAGAACACAGAGGTGCAGGCGCTGAGCTGGGTGAGTCGTAGGGAGAAAGGTCAGTATGAGGGATCCCGTGTGGGACCTGCCAGGGTGTGAGGTAGGAACCAGGTCACATTGAGATTTTATTCTAAGCCACTGGAGAATATTAAGGGGGAAGGGGAGGGTGTGACATGATGGGGTTTTAAATTTCAAAAGATCCGCCTGTGGAATGGACAGTGAATGACTCACGCTTTGGGAGTGGCCCCTAAGAAATGCCTGCCCCCCTCAGAACCGTCCTCAGAGACTCTCCACCTTCTTCCCCAGTTGAACCAGATTGAGGGGGAGCTGTAAGGGGTGGGTGGGCTGATGACAGCATGTGCCCTCACTCCATAGACGCCGAGGGGAGGCCATTCTGGAACCCCAGAGCCAGAAGTCGAGGTTCCATTCCTGACTCTGATGCCACTTTAGCCCCATCACTGCGAATGGGGACAGTAGTGCCCGCCCCCACCTGCCGAGAGTGAGTGTAAAAGCGCTGAGACCCTACAGTGGGGACCTCAGCACCGCACCCCATCTTGCGGGGGCGGGGCGCGGTCCTCTCTGTCCCGATGAGCGCCCCCTGGAGGTGGGGCACGAGGACGCACTCAGCTGGAGCAGCAGGGACCTAAAGCTGAGGTGGGCAGCGGGGTTTTCCTGACGGGTCTCGCCCCACTCCTGGGGGCCCCCAAACCGTCTCCACCGTTTCCTCCCAGCGCGCCCCCTCCCCCTGCCGGCTCCACCTGTAGTCACCCGGACCCTCCACTCCTCTGCCCCCCGGCTCTGGCCTGGGCACTGGGGGGTCCCCAGGCTCAGGCCCCGAGGCCGGGTCTCAGGCTGTGGGGTGGCAGTCGATGACCTCCAGGACGACCTCTGAGCGCTGGATGTGTGGCCGGGCGGGGAAGCAAAAGGTCAGAGCAGAGAGGGGTGTCCCGGGACTGGGGACTGGAGGGGGAGCCGGGTCCGAGGACGGGATGGGGAAATGTCCTGGTCCCGGTCCCCCCCTTCTGCCACCAGCATTCAGGGAGCTTCGCCAGGAGGAGCAGGTCCGAGATGGACACTCTGAGCCCGGGTCCGTGGGGAAGGGGCTGGGGGGCCAGTGCGGAATGCCCTCCTGGGACCCCGCTCCCTGCTGGGCCAGGGGTCGCGGGCGCGACAGGGAAGGCCAGGTAGGGCTCGGACAGCCGTGCGGGGAAGCCGGGGCGCGGGTGGGGCACGCGGTGGCCGAGCCACCGGCCGGGGCGGTACAGCGCGGGGATCGGGCACTAGGGCCTGGGGCCCTGAGGTGTGTGTCCCCCACCCCGCCATCGAGGGGCCAGGCGGCCAGGCGGCGGAGGTGGTTCGCCCACCCTGGTCTTTTGTGCCCGGGCTGCCTCCGGACACACCTGTGGGTCCCAGGCCCGGCCTGTGGCCACCCCTCCCCCTTTCCTTCCTCTGCCCCGGCCTGCCACACCCCTCCTGCTCCAGCCCCCGGGGGAGGGGAAAGCCACTTCTGGTGCCCCTCCCCATGAGCGGTGGCCTCGATCTTGCTCCCCAAAGGGCCCCCTCTGTATTCGTAAAGTTCTAGCGCATTCGCCGACTTAGGAGTTGCAGTGTGACCTGGGCGTACAGTCTGGTGGGCTCTCTTCGTCGCGTTGAGTCCGGGGAACTTTGGTCGCTGGACCCCGCCACCCCTCCCCCGCCACCCTCAGAGGGCGGGCACCCGAGTCCGAGAGAAGGGAAAGGGGCTGCCCCACTTCAGTGCTGCGGAGACTTCTGCCCCCGGAGAGAGCTGTGGGGAGACCCTGCGGTTTGGTGACTGAGGGGGGGGGGGAGCAGCATCCCGCCCAGCTGCAGCCTCCCAGTGGGACTTGTGGTTGTCCCTGGGGGTTCCTGGAACTTCAGCCTCAACCAGACCTGCTGAATTAAGTGAGGGTCCTGGGCCCGAGCCTCGCATGCCCCTGGGTTCCCTGAATCTGGGGTTCGCAGGGAGGACGGAAGCAGAGGAGGTGGGCAGGCTGGGCCTTGGTTTCCCATCATCATCGGTAGTATGGGTGTTAGTAGTAATAGTAACAGTAGGAAGAAGAGGAGGAGGAGGAAGAGGGGGTGGTGCTCACTGAAGCCTCCGGTGCTGGGACCAGCTTCCTGAGTCCCCCCAGGGATCTAGTGCCTCCACAGGGTGGGCACATAGCAAGCAGGTGCTCAGTAAATATTTGCTGAGTTCCGAATCTGTCATCTATATATTGGACTTATTGGACTTGTGTAAAACCAAGATTGTGTCACAGAACCAGGTACCTGGACTGCAAGGTTCCCAGAGACCCTCTGCAGGCCATGTCACCCTCCACCCACTGTGAGACCAGGGCCTAGGTAACTGGTAGGTCTACAGCCCCACCCACCACCAAGCCAGGCACCAGCGGATGCAGCTGTCAGGGGAATCTCGAGAGGCCTAGAAGGGGTGAGGGGCACCTGTGCCAGGCTGGCTGCCAGGCTGGACTCAGGGAGAGAGGGCTGCTGAGCTGGCAGATGGGGGGCTCCCGGAAGAAAGGCAGAAGTAGGGCAGCTGCCTTCCCAAGATTCATTGTCAAGAGAAGATGCTCGCAGCTCGAGGGTCCAAGAACCTGCAAAGCCAGGCCCTCTGTCAGCAGTGCCCTGGGAACCCCGAGGTGGGGCCGGGCAGAGTTGAGGCTGGGGATAGCGGTTTTTATGCTTCTTTTATATAAAGTAGACAAAAACAGTTGCTTTGGTTGAAGGGAGTCCCTTGCCCCTACCTCAGAGCCTGAGAACACTGTTTTAGACGACTTGAAAAGGGTGTGGAAGTCAGGGGCGCTCAGACTGCCAGCCAAAATCTGGACCATTAATGTCGGCCTGAGGCCCAGGGCCCCCAGAGCGAGTGGCCTCCTCAGTCTGACCCCTCTGGCTGCCGTTTCTGTGTCCATGTTTCTTTTTCTGTCTGGTGGAGTGGAGGGACACAGGAGCCAAATCAGCAACCATCAAACTGTGACTGATTTCCTCTCATCTCCATAGCCCCTGGCTGACCTGAGGCCAGCCTCCCCCACTCCACTGTCCCTTCTCAGCCACCCGAGAGGTGATGTGAAAATCTGGGATCTCGAGCTACGCGTCGGGTTTGATCCAGGCTCCACTGGCTGTGTCACCTTAGACAAGTTACTTAGCTTCTCTGAGCTTCACTTTTCTCTTCTGTAAAATAGGGACAATCAGAGCTCTCCCTGGGGTGAGGAGCCCTCAATGCAGCCCCAGGCACAGGAGCGACCACAGTCTAAATGGGGATCAGAACTTGTCAGCCTCTTCCTCCCTCCTCCCTTCAGCCATCCTCATCCTGAAATCTCGGATCGGGTTCTCCCCAGCCAAAAACTTCAGCGACCCTCCATTGCCCTAACTAGTAAACAGGTGTTTAGTGAGTGGTTCGGACTGGAGATAGAGCAGCGAGCGGCTGTTCTTGCAGATGCTACAAGGTGTGGGAGCAGCCAGGGGAAATATGCAGGTGTCAGATGGTGGGAAAGAGAGAAAGGGGGAGGGGGGAGGGAGTGCAGAGGAGTCGAAACCTTAGAAGGGGAGATGGCGACTTTGGAGTAAAGACTCCCCTACAAGAAGCAGGGGAGCTGGTCACTTCACACCCTGGGGACGGCATTTCGGGCTTCAGGACTCAGAGGCGGGAGTGCGCCTGGCGGCCGTGCCAGATTGGGGTAGCAGCGTGAGCCAGGACTGGAGCGCAGGGCAGGAGGCCCACGAGGTAGCTATACTGGGAAGGACATGGAAAGCCACTGCGGGGTTTTGAGCAGGTATGTGTGCCTCCTCTTTGAACGGGATCCACTCTGGTCTCACAGACTGGAGGGCGAGGGCGGAGGCAGGGCGCCAGTGCCGAGGCCGTTGTTGAAATCCAGCTGAGGTGACACAGCCAAGCGGCTGTGCTGGGCTAGGGTTGAAGCTGCAGAGATTAAAGGTGGAGCCAACAGAATTTTCGGACTGACTGGGTGGGGGTGTGACAGAAAGATCAGAGGTGACCCCAAGTTTTTGGCCTAATGCGTTAGCTTCCCAGGGCTGCCGTAACAAATTAACACCGACTCGGGTGGCTTTAGAGCAATAGAATTTTATCCTCTCCCAGCTCCGGAGGCCAGAAGGCTGAAATCCAGCTGCCTGCAGGGCTGTGCACCCTCTGAAGGCTCCAGGGGAGGGTCCTTCCCTGCCTATCCCAACTTCCGGTGGCCCCAGGCGCTCTTTGGCGCTCCGTGATTCACATGTCGTCCGTCACGTGGTCATCTTCTGTCTCTCCTCCTCTTATTAGGGCAACAGTCATGTGATTACTCCATACCCTATGATCAGAAACTCCAGTATGACCTCATGTTAACTAGTGACATCGGCCACCACCCTATTTCCAATTAAGGCCGCGGTCTGAGGTGCTGGGGGTCAGGACTCAATCAGTCTTGCAAGGACACAACTCAGCCCCCAACACCCCATGACCAGGAGGCGTCGGGTTAGCCGAGGAGGACGGAGCTGCGTGAGGGAGTCAGGAGCTCGTGTGCGGATGGTTTAAGTCAAGATGCTTCTTAGAGTCGAGGACAGATAGAGAAGATTGCTCCAGTCCTGGGCGAGGTCCCACTTGGGGATTTACTTGGAGCCCTCGGCATGTGGAGGTGTTCTAAGTCATGAGACTGGCCGAGACCCAGCGGGTCGGTGTAAATGAAAGTGGGGAGGGGCCCATAGGCAGGGATGGGGGCGGGAGGAGAACCAGCAGAGCCTGGGTCCCGGGGACCTAGGGAGAAGAGGTTTCACAGAGACACCGATATCAAATGCTGGGTCCCGTGAGAACAGACAAGTGAACTTAGAAACGTGGCGGTCACTGGGGAGAGTCACCGAGAAGAGTGAGTTTGCTGTGTTGGGGAGGGGGCAAAACCTTGATGGGAGGGGGTCTCAGAGAGACTGGGAAGAGGAGAAAATGTCCAAGTCGAGCATCATAGTAATCATCGATTTAGGCCAAAATCTTGAGTGAATGCTGAAGCTCTGGAGTGTGAGATTGCCGGGAAACAGGATATCTCAGAGCGTCACCCCAGCCCAAAAAAAAGGGGACTTTACAAAGGACAGCGAGGTCCCCAAATGATCTGGCACTGTGGGCGCATAGAGGAGGTCACACAGCCTCTCGTGTCTTTGCCCACATGCTCAGCCTGATACCCGAGGCCCTCAGACAGACCCACCCGGGTGGGGGTGGCGCTTTCGGCCAGACCACTGGCTGAAAAATCTCAGTAACATGAAAGGTCAAAAAAAAAAGTATCAGGGAATTTATTCTTCAAGGATTAAACAGACAAGACCAAATGTTCCCACAAACCTTGATTGGATCCTGTGAAGGGAAAAAAAATTCTGTAAGGATATTGTTTAGACAGTCGGGAAGTGCAGGCGTGGACACTCGCGGACTGTGTATCTGTTCAGCTTCCGTGTTCGTAGGAGGACCTCGAGGTGCTGCCTTGCTCCTAGGTGACGCCTTGGTTTCTGCGCAGGGAAGGCGGGTCATGAGAGAGATGAGAAGACTGGTGGGAACAACTGGGGAAGCCAGAAGGGGGTGTGGATATTGTTATACAGGTCTTATAACTTTCTGTAGGTTTGAAGTATTTTACAACAAAAGTCGGGGCGGATAAAGATTGCCGAGGGGAGAGATCTGGGAAGGGGAGGGCGGACACCTGTTTTACGGAGTTTAGCTATAAAGGGAGGGGGAGAAACTGAGCAGCAGCTGGAGACGGAGGGATGAGGGTTGGAGGGATGAGGGTTAGCGTGCCGATGGGCGTGCTCCATCCCTCGGGGAGGGGTGACCCGAGGATGTAGGGGCAGGGGATGCTGAACGGTGGCCCCGCACTTCGGATCTAGGTGGAAGGCTGGCTTCGGGTTGGAGCAGGGCCAAGCCCCTGCAGCCCTGGGCAGCAGGTGGACATGGTGGGAGCTCACGGACCCTAGACTTCCGATGGCTTTTGTTTTCCTAAAAAAGTCGGAGGCAGAGTCAGCAGGAGAGTGTTAGGGGTGAGCTGTGGGAGGTTGGGGGACGGAGGAGCAAGCAGGAAGGTCATCTGTGCAGTGGGGGAGAGTATAGGCTGGGGCCATGTGGTAAATCTGGGGCCACGTCCCCATCCTGTGTCACACAGGTATGCCACCACGCCGACTGCCAGCAGCTGCACCGCCGGGGACCCCTCAACCTCTGCGAGGCCTGTGACAGCAAGTTTCACAGCACTATGCAGTATGACGGACACGTCCGCTTTGACCTGCCCCCCCAAGGTGAGCACCGGTTGCGGGGCCCAGCCTGGACCCTAGCGTTCCCAGGGTAGCCACAAACTCCCTGTCTGGGGGCACAGTGTCTTAGTGACTGTTGGAACTGTGACAGGGCCATCAGAAGGACAAGAGTCGGCTGAAATGAGGAAACCCAAGTATGTTTCAGTCCCTTTTGTTCTGCAAGTTTTTTAACAAGAGGCTTCAGAAAGGCTGATGAGCGATCTCTCCCAGTCTTTGCGGCTGCCGGACTTAAAAGCTGGGGACTGTGCCCCATCTTGAGAGCAGGCCTGTCTGTCCCAAGTGCCAGGTCTGCACCCCGCCCCCCCCCCAGAGGCCCTGCCCCTGGCTTGGGGCCTGCATGGAGAGGCCCCTTTCTCCGTGTCCTCGGGGTTGGGGACTTCTGGGCAAATCCTCCAGCCTGGAGTAGAGGCAGCGGGGGTAGGAGTGGGGTTGGGATGGGCAGGTCAGAGGGACTTGTCGCAGGAAACAAGAAACCCCTCATGCTGAATAGAGAAATGGCCCAGGACCACGGCCAGCTGGCTGTGCTGGGGTGGCTTCCAGACACTGGGCCTGGAGAGAAATGCCAACCCTTTGTCTCCCTTCTTAGCTGGTCAGAGGCACAAAAGGACTCTCCCTGTCTGCCAAGGCCCCCTGGGACTTTGGGTATGGTCACAGGGGTGGGGGTAGGGTGAGGCCTGAGAGAAAGAGCCATGGACTTTGACCCCTTTCCGCAGTAATCCCAGAGGCCGGCTTCTTTATCCCTATTTCACAGACAGGTAAACTGAGGCTGCAGGTGGATTTGTGTTGGGAGCGGGCATCACTTTGTGTCATCTCAGGGCTCTTGTGTCTTTTTGAATCTGGGAGTGAACAGATGACAAGCAGTGACCGAGCCCCTCCCCTCACAGAACCAAAAGGCCTTACTTAGCTAGTCTGGGGACAGGGTGCCCCAGGATTGGTAGCAGGCAGTGGCCCCTCCAGAGATGGCCATGTTGGAAGGCTAAGAAGGGACCAGGGAGGGAGCGGGCACAACCCCACCCCCCACTGTACTCCTAAGGCTCCGTCCTGGCCCGGAACGTGTCCACCCGGTCATGCCCCCCGCGCACCAGCCCTGCAGTGGGCTTGGAGGAGGAGGAGGAAAGCTGTATGGATGACAAAGGGTAGGTGAGGGGTAGGTGGGCAGAGCAGACACCTGAGGGCCCCAAGGCTGGGTCTCAGCTCAGAGGTGCAGGGACCAGAGGCCCTGTCTCTGCGGCTGCCCAATTCCTAGAGGAGGCCACCAAGCCTGGGCCCGCCTCTGGGGCTTCTGGGATCAGGCACCACCTGACTAGTTACCACTGGGTGTGACTCCTGTGTTGGCCACCAGAGGGCGCACACCCCCTTGTGGGCCCTGGCCTGCGGGAGTGCGCCTGGGTTACCTGGTCACCTGGGGTGAGTGAGGGGTGGGTGGCCAGCCAGGGCCCGCTCAGATCCCGCCCTGTTGAGGACCCACCGTGCCTCCAGCCTCTGCCCTCACCGGCTTCCTGCAGGGACCGGAAGAGCACAGGTCTGAAACTCTCCAAGAAGAAAGCCAGGAGGAGACACACAGATGTAAGGAGCCCCAGGCTGGCAGAGGGGCCCCCTCTTTTCCATCCCCAAGGCTGAGCCTGTCTGCTCTGAACCCGGGATCAGGCGTGGGGCCTGATCTGTCCCTCCCTCACCACCCTGCCCTGCAGCCCAGCACTGCCCACCTTAGCCAGGTGGGGTGGGGGACGTTCCAGGAGCTGCTCTCTCAGGCGGGACAGACACTGGGGGCCTCCCTGGGACTGTCCCCGTGTTCACTCCCTGCTGTGGTTCCCATCGTGGACCCTAGGATGGGGAGGATGGGGGACAAGGGGTGCAGAGGCTGAGACCCACGTCCTCTTAGGACCCCAGCAAGGAGTGCTTCACCCTGAAATTTGACCTGAGTGTGGACATCGAGACAGAGATCGTACCAGCTGTGAAGAAGAAGTCACTAGGGTAGGGCTTGGTGGCCTGGGTGCGGAAGTGGGCTGAGGGCAGGCGCGGCCTCCTGCAAATCTGACTGTGTCTGTGTGGTGACCATGTCCCCAACCTGTGGGGAGGTCCACCCACGTGGTGTATACACCAGTGAGGGCACACGTGACAGGGCCCGTGCACCTGTGCGTGTATTCCAGCCCTGTATGCGTGGTCCAGTCCCTGGGTGTGGATGGGCCTGTGACAGTGCGTGGACGTGAGTGTGAGGGCCTGGGTGCGGTAGCTGGTGTGCAGATGCATGCAGGAGTGTGTGCACCTCTGTAGACAGGTGTGTGTGCACCCGCACGCATCTGTGTGTGTACCTGTGTGTGACCCCACAGGTGCCTCCCTTTTCCACTGGGAAGGGGGGACGGAGCTGGGGCCATGGATGGGATGGGGGTCCATGTGACCGCCCCCTAACAGAGGCGCCTCCACCCCGGGGCAGGGAGGTGCTGCTGCCAATATTTGAAAGGAAGGGCATCGCACTGGGCAAGGTGGAGATCTACCTGGACCAGTCCAACACGCCCCTGTCCCTCACTTTCGAGGCCTACAGGTTTGGGGGACACTACCTGCGGGTCAAAGGTAAGCAGCTGGTGGGGTGGGCGGGGCCCGGCTGGGCCTTCCGGAGATGGGTGTGTCTTCCCAGGCTCAGATTCTTGTTGGCCGTGGCCCTGAGCAGGCTCATTACCCTACAGGTGTCTTTGCTGGGCAGTAGTGGCGGGGGCTTGTAGGGCGGGGCTTCAGGGGAGGGCAGCGAGGGCTTGGTCGGATGGATCTTCGGGGGAGAGGGGACTGGGGCCACCTCCTCCGCTGGACCCCGTGTTGAGGGCCTCTCCTTGCCCCCTGATGCTGCCCCAGCCAAGCCGGGGGACGAGGGGAAGGCGGAGCAGGGGGTGAAGGACTGCAAGTCGCTTAGTCTGCCGATCCTGCGGCCAGCCGGGGCCGGGGCGCCTGCCCTGGAACGCGTAGACCCCCCGAATCGCAGGGAGAGCCTGGACATCCTGGTGAGGAGGCAGGGCTAGGGCAGGGCTGGGGACGGGGCAGGGCCGCAGAGGGGAGGTCAGCTGGGCCCCTCCCTGTTCCCTCTTGGGGCTTCAATCTCCCCTTCTGGAAAATGGGGTTGCTGTGAGAATAGGAGGCCCCCTCGAGATCCGACTGCACCCCAGTGTGATGAGTCTCGTCTCAGAGTGTTCTAGTGCCCAGGGGGAGTGTGTGTGTGTGTGAGTGTGTGTGTGTGTGTAAGCACAGACGTGTGGGGAGTGAGACTGCGTCACGGGCTATGTGCATGCGTGTGCATTGTGGATCCACTTGGAGCTGTGCTTCCCAGTGCATCTGAGTGTGTGACTCTTTCTCCCCACCTGCTTCATGCTTGTGGCTGGGTGGCTGGGGGTGGTCCGGGTGCATCTGTGTCTGGATATTTTAGCCCCCAGAGCATGTGTGGGTCTCAGGAGGGGTGGCCTCCCAGGCTGGGCAGCAGAGACCCTCCCACCTCCCAGGCTGGCTTGAGGTCAAGGAAACCCACCCTGGGGTGGGGCTCTGGGGGCCAGAGTGAGCCTGGCTGGCCTTGACCAACCCTCCCTGACCAGGCCCCTGGCCGCCGACGAAAGAACATGTCCGAGTTCCTGGGGGAGACGAGCATCCCTGGGCAGGAGCCCCCCACCTCCTCCAGCTGCTCTCTGCCCGGGAGCAGCAGCGGTAGCAGCGACAGCTGGAAGAACCGGGCGGCCAGCCGCTTCAGCGGCTTCTTCAGCTCAGGCCCCAGCACCAGCGCCTTTGGCCGGGTAGGTGGTCCTGTGGGCCCTGGGGCAGGGCAGTTGGCTGGCCCTGACCTCTGACCTTAACCCTGGTCTCCTAGGAGGTGGACAAAATGGAGCAGCTGGAGGGCAAGCTGCACGCCTATGGCCTCTTCGGGCTGCCCAGGCTGCCCCGGCGGCTGCGCTTTGACCACGACTCATGGGAGGAGGAGGGGGACGAGGAGGAGGATGAAGCCGACGCCTGCCTGAGGCTGGAGGACAGCTGGCGGGAGCTCATTGATGGGCATGAGGTGGGTGCCACCCGCGGCCCTCCCTTCTCCCTCCTCCTTGGGGAAACGGAGACATTATTTTCCCACTTCATGGGGCTCTTCTGAGGACCCAGTGACAGGATGTTCCACAGGACAGCCCTGCCAGACTGCTGGCATCATTAACCCGCTTTGGGGAAACTGAGGCAAGGTGAAACTGCAGTGTGCCATTTAGCTGTTTTAGTGGCCCAGAATTTGGGGGACCTGCGTGTCTCCCCCGGGAAAAGCAGGTTACTTGCAAGGTTGCTCACCCTTCCCGTCCCTGAACACTCCGGGCTCCTGGCCGACCCCTGCCCTTCCCACAGAAGCTGACTCGGAGGCAGTGCCACCAGCAGGAGGCGGTGTGGGAGCTTCTGCACACGGAGGCCTCCTACGTTAAGAAACTGCGGGTGATCACCAACGTGAGTGTGGGGCCGCAGAGGCCCAGGGCCGCCCGTCCGCCCCCATGGCCTCCTCCTGGCTACCCCCATCAGAGTTTAGGCCTTTGCAGAAGGAGCAGGTGCCAGGCCACAAAGAGGGGACGTGAGAGAAGGGCCACACCCCGGGGAGGAGGTGACTCCCCTGTGCAGGGCACCTGGGAGGGGCTTCAGGCTGAACTAACTAACACAGGGCTGAGCTGAACTAACACAGGCTTCATCCTTTCGTTCAACGGCAATTCCTGAACACCTGCTGAGTGCCAGGTGTCCAGCAGCCCACGCCCTAGGCATGGAGACAGTGTGTTGGCACTGGGGCGGGGAGGTGTGCGGTATATAGGGACTTTGACCTGGGGGAGCACCTGGCCTGGTCTTGCGGGTTCAAGGAAGGCGCCCTCTGAGCTGAAACAGAGGCCGAGCCAGGGGAGAGGTGGAGGAGAGTGTTCCAGGCCTGGCCGCAGCCTTCGCTCTGTGGGGACCCTGGGGCCTAGGCTTTTTCTTGAAGAGTGAACCCTCTCTGCCCCAGCGTGCTTCAGAGCCTCCAGGGAGGGGTAAGGGGTAGAGGGGAGCCTAAGAATCTGAGGGGGGCATCGGGACTGGGACCCCCCCAGCTGCAGCGCCCCTTACCCCCACAGCTGTTCCTGTGCTGCCTCCTGAACCTGCAAGAGTCGGGGCTGCTGTGTGAGGTGCGTCGGGATCTGGGGCGGGGCACGATACCTGGCCCCGGGGATAGGGGAGGGGCTTAAGCACAGGGGTGGAGACGGATCGGGTGGGGCCGGAAGAGGGCGGGGTCCACAGGTGGAGTCCGCGAGGAGTGGGGCCTGGCTTCAGGGGGCGGGGATAGGGGAGGGGTTGAAGACGAGGGCGAGGACGGGCAGGGGCGGGGCTGAGCGCACCTCCCGCCTCCCAGGTGGAAGCCGAGCGTCTGTTCAGCAACATCCCGGAGATCGCGCGGCTGCACCGCGGGCTGTGGGGCAGCGTGATGGCGCCGGTGCTGGAGAAGGCGCGGCGCACGCGGGCGCTGCTGCAGCCTGGGGACTTCCTCAAAGGCTTCAAGATGGTGCGTGCCGGGCCGCACACAGGCGGGGACAATGAGGCAGGGCTGGGGCTCCGATCCTATCCGCCTGTTACCCCAGCCTCCCCCAGAGCAGTGGCCCTGCTCGACCCCTAGTGGTCAGAGGCAAAGATTTCCGAGTCGATCGCCTGGGTTTGAACCCCACCTGGCTATCTTCCCTTGCTACCTGGCCGAGGGTGGTCTCTTTCTCCAAGGCTCAGTTATCTCATGTGGAAAACAGGGCTAATAAGGTTTGCCACCCGCTGGGGTGGTCGCAAAAGTACAATACGGAAGAGCTTGTGCAGGGCCCGGCCCACAGGTAGCGCAGGTAACCAGGTGTTCCTGTTTCGCCCTGCGCCAGTTCGGCTCCCTCTTCAAGCCCTACATACGATACTGCATGGAGGAGGAGGGCTGCATGGAGTACATGCGTGGCCTGCTGCGCGACAACGACCTCTTCCGGGCCTATGTCACGGTAAGGACAGGCCTGGCTGATGAGCAGGGGCACAGGGCGGTGGACCCACCCCGGCATCAGGTGCATAGTGGGCGGGGCCTGGGACCTGGGGCGGGGCCTGCCCTGAGCCCCGCCCCTGCCTCCCGCCACAGTGGGCCGAGAAGCACCAGCAGTGCCAGCGGCTGAAGCTGAGCGACATGCTGGCCAAGCCCCACCAGCGGCTCACAAAGTACCCTCTGCTGCTCAAGTCGGTGCTGAGGAAGACTGACGAGCCGCGCGCCAAGGAGGCCGTCGTCACCATGGTAACCAGGGCGGCCAGTCGGGTCACCGTATGGCTCGCTACCCCTCCCTGACTCTGGGCTTGAACCCGCCATCTCTCGCCCCCAGATCAACTCCGTGGAGCGCTTCATCCATCACGTGAACGCATGCATGCGGCAGCGACAGGAACGGCAGCGGCTGGCGGCAGTGGTGACCCGCATCGACGCCTACGAGGTGGTGGAGGGCAGCAACGACGAGGTGGACAAGGTGGGCGGCATGGCCCTGCTGGGAGGGATGAAGGGCCAAACTGGCAGACAGGGACTGCGCTGGAATCTCACTTGAGGACTCCTAGCTGGGATGGGGAGTCGTACCCTGACCTCTCCTACACCTGTCCCCCACCCCCAGCTCCTGAAGGAATTTCTGCATCTGGATTTGACAGCGCCCATCCCTGGCGCCTCCCCTGAGGAGACACGACAGCTGCTGCTGGAGGGAAGCCTGAGGATGAAGGAGGGGAAGGACAGCAAGGTAACTCGAGGGGCCACCCCACACCCAGGGTCCGTGTCGCATCCCCTCTTGCCCTGCAGGTTTGGACCACCCCTACCTAGGCATCTCCTGGACCCTAGTCACTGGTTTGTATCTGCCAAGTTAGTCAGGTGGCTACTCAAGAACTAGTGCCCTTGTCATGTGCTCTACAGTACCCCCCCAAATAAATACATAAAATAAAGTAAAATCCAAAAAGAACTAGTGGCCTCGTGCTCATATGAGGGATGATTATTTGCCTGGTGCTTACTCTTTACAAATGCAGCAGCATCACAGCCCACGGTGCCAGCTGTGCCCATGTGGTGCCACATGAGTCCTGGTGGGAGGGAGGGGGCACGTTCCACGAGCAGGCCGGGGACAGCCCAGACCCTTTCTAGAGCTTTTAATTCTTCAGGTGCTGTGTAACCCAGTGTCTGCAAATCATATTTTAAAATGACTTCCCTTTTCCCCTTTATTGTCAACTTTTATTTATTTTATTTATTTTTTACTTTTTAGACGAGGCGACCCTTGGCTGACCTCACAGATTGCAAGGACCTTGTCAGCTTACAATCCCTTATTTTTTTATTTTTTACTCCTACAGCACCTGATCTTCCTAGGCAGTCTCCCATCCAAGTACTAACCAGACCCGACCCTGCTTAGCTTCCGAGATCAGATGGGTTTGGGCTTGTTCAGGGTAGCTTGGCCGTAGACTATTGTCAGCTTTTAATTGACATAAATCACAAGTGTGTAGCTCGATGAAGGAAAACCATCTTTCTCTTCGTTTTAATTTTCCTCTCAGGTTCATGTGGGGGTGGAGCAGGGGAGGTGTTTGACAAAGTCTGAGTACCCCAAGGAGAGGGTGTTACAGCAGACAGACAGGGGTCCCTGCCTAAGGCCCCAGGACTCTGGCCCTGACCCCCGGCCTGTCCTTCTCTCCCTGCCACCCCAGATGGACGTGTACTGTTTCCTCTTCACGGACCTGCTCTTGGTGACCAAGGCAGTGAAGAAGGCTGAAAGGACCAAAGTCATCAGGCCACCACTGCTGGTAGACAAGATCGTGTGCCGGGAGCTGCGGGACCCTGGTGAGGAGCCGGGCACCCCCTGCTCCTGGGGAAATGCTGTGATGGACAGGGGCCAGGGTCCTAGCTGACACTGATACGAGCTCTTCCTAACCAGGCTCCTTCCTCCTCATCTACCTGAATGAGTTCCACAGTGCCGTGGGGGCCTACACATTCCAGGCCAGCGGCCAGGCGCTGTGTCGTGGCTGGGTGGACGCCATTTACAATGCCCAGGTGAGCGCAGAGTGGTGTGCCCGCGGGCAGGGCCACCTGGTGAGGGCTGCTGCTCACAGCCCATTCTGCCCCTGTGCACTGCCGCCCCCACCTGCAGAACCAGCTGCAGCAGCTGCGCGCGCAGGAGCACCCAGGCAGCCAGCAGCACCTGCAGAGCCTGGAAGAAGAGGAGGATGAGCAGGAGGAGGATGAGGAGGAGGACGAGGAAGAGGAAGGTGGGGAGAGTAGCACTTCGGCTGCCAGCTCGCCCACCATTCTGCGGAAAAGCAGCAACAGCCTGGACTCGCAGCACTGGTATGCTTGCCCGGGGCCACCCAGCAGGCCAGGGCGGGGCAGGCACTCCAGCCCAGGACTCCCGACCCCCAGGCCACGGACACTGGGCAGGGCCCACCCATGACCCCTTCCTCTGAATGGCTTTGTGTTGTGAATCCAGTAGGGGGTAGGGGTGGATTCTGTCTCTCACCGGAGTCCAGACGGTGACGGCGAATGATTTTAAACTTGACCGCCAACTCTGATTCATTAGTAGCTGCCCGGAGCTGAGCTGAGGACTCTTAGACTGTCTCCAGCAGGAAAGAGCTCTCTCTGTGCTGGTGACAGACGCCATTAACGTCTGTGTTGTGGGCACAGGGGTTGGCAGATCGAGTGCGAGTGCCACACGTTTGCCGTCTCAGCTTCGAGAAGGCAGAGGCTGTAGACCCACGTTGCTCAGCATGAGGCCTGCACCAGGCCAGATCGGTTTCCTTTGCCTGGCCTGACTCTGTCCTCCCGGCCCCACAGTGCCTCAGACGGCTCCACGGAGACCCTGGCCATGGTCGTGGTGGAGCCTGGGGAGACACTGTCCTCTCCTGAGTTCGAGGGTGGCCCCTTCAGCTCCCAGTCGGATGAGACCTCTCTCAGTACCACTGCCTCTTCCGTCACGCCCACCAGTGAGCTGCTGCCCCTGGGCCCAGTGGGCGGCCGCTCCTGCTCCACGGACTCCGCCTATGGCACCCTCTCCCCCACCTCCTTGCAAGACTTTGTGACCCCAGCCCCTATGACAGAGCCAGCACCCCAGCCCCCAGAGTTACCACAAGCCCCTTCACCCCCACCCTCACCTCGCCTCCGCCGCCGCACCCCTGTCCAGCTGCTGCCCCGTCTGCCCCACCTGCTCAAGTCCAAATCCGAGGCCAGCCTCCTTCAGCTGCTGTCAGGGGCCACCACCCGTGGAGCACCCCCAGCCCCCAGCCGCAGCCTATCGGAACTCTGCTTGGCCGCTACAGTCTCTGGCATTAGGACTCGGAGCTCCCCTCAGGAAGCTGGGCTCAGCTGGAATTACAGGGGGTCGCCAGTCCCTGGCAGTGGCCCCGAATTATCAGAGATGGGAGGCAGAACCAACTGCCTGGCTGGGGAGTCTGAACAGCCCTCCAGGAGGAGCAGAGAGCTGCTCTTGGGGGCCTTGCCCCGGGTGCGGCCTGAGCCCCCGCCAGGGATCTCTGCCCAGCACAGGAAGCTGACGCTGGCCCAGCTCTACCGAATCAGGACCACCCTGCTGCTTAGCTCCACGCTCACTGCCTCGTGAGTGGCCCAACTGGGGTAGAGGGCAGGTGGCCCAGCGTGCTGACATTGGGGGCACTGTCATGCTGGGAGCAGATGGCATTCGGGGATGTGGATGGGAGAGGGAGCCTGAGGCCTGCCCCCAGGGCCTGGGTGCCTGTGGTGAGCAGCGGTGAAGGGACCTAAGGATTCCAGTGGGGAGGAGAGGGTGGCCAGAGCCCCTCTGAGTGGCATCAGCCAAGGAAGGACTGTCTCTCCCCTCCCCTTCCCTGCAGAGAGGTCTGAGCAGAGGGAGGCCCCCAAGGGTGCCACTGACCACAGGACAGCAGACAGCATGCCTCCTGGGGTGTGCTGGCCCCTGTTCCAGCTACTGCCTTGTGTATACACAAGCCGGAGTGCCAGGCAGGACCCCGGCCACCGCCCCGGGCCCATTTGCACTTTGCCAGACTGGATGGGAGTGGAGAAGGGCTTGGCAGAGCCCCAGACCCAGGCTGCAGTACCCCTCAGGACCGCCCTGCCCCCGCCCCCACGGTCGCTACCTTCACTAACCTCCCTGCCACCCACACCTGCTGCTCCCCGAGGTCACCAGCTCCAGTCCCCTGGGTTGGTCTCCAGGGCAGCCCACCTCTACCTTCCTCTGACCCCAAATGGGACATCCCCCTGTCCTCACCCCACTTCTCTCCTTCCCAGTTCCACTGGCCACCCCAGGCTTGGGTTGGGCTCTGTGTAAAGTTGCATATTTATTGAGCTTTTGATTTTTTTTATATAAAGACTTGTATATACTGCACTGGAAAGAGTCCTTGGCTTTGGAATCACCCCGTTTGGGATTCACAGGCACTTGCGCTCCTGTCCCCCTCCATCTGTGGTGGGGCGTGGCTGGAAGAGACCCTGGGAAGCAGAAGTGAATTCAAGGGGCAGAGGTCACCAGACCAGCACCCCAAGATCAACCCCTGTCCCACAGCCAGCACTTCGCCATTGGAGCCCCCACGATTGCCTCTCCCCAGAGTGCCTCAGAGGGCCCTGCCCCCCGGCCACCCCATGGGCTTTTGCCAGGGTGGGCGGCATGTCTCAGGTTCTACTGGGAGTGCTCCCTAGGACTGCCCTGGGGGGGCCTGTACGCACAAGCGCATAGTATCTGGGGAGGGTGCGTCTCCCGCCTGGCAGTGAGGCCCAGAGGGAGGGAAGTCACTTCACTTGGAAGTGGCGGTCTTAGAACCCAGGCGTGGGAACCGCCGGCCCCCCTGCCCTGTGCGCCCCTTGTTACCTGAAGGCCGCCCCGCCCCAGGTGAGCTCAGGTGTGAGGGGCGTGGTGGCCTGCGGGCTCCGTTGCGGGGAGCCCCCCGCGGGCCCCGCCCCAGCGCTCA